CTGAGAGAGAGAGAGGGTCTCTCAAGCTTCCCCCCCCCACACACACACACACACACACACACACACACACACACACACACACACACACACACACACACACACACACACACACACACACACACACACACACACACACACACACACACACACACACACACACACACACACACACACACTCCCCCATGTTAAAGGCCTGACATGCACAGGCTATTTTTAATAAGGAAGAATAGCGGCTGCAGAGTGAAGTCAGACTGAAACAGCGATTTGCAATTTAGAGATCTGTCATCACGCATCACTCTGAGAGGGGACCTCCACACACACACACACACACACACACACACACACACACACACACACACACACACACACACACACACACACACACACACACACACACACACACCTCACACACACTCATACAGCACACACACTCATACAGCACACACACATCACACACACACTCATACAGCACACACACATCACACACACACACTCATACAGCACACACACATCACACACACACTCATACAGTACACACACACTCGTACTGCACACACACACCTCACACACGTGTTCTGCAGCAGAGTAAGCCGGCGCTGAGCGTATGCTCATGAATCATCTGGTGTTCCAGGAGCAGGGACCACGCCACAACAGAGTGATGTTTGGAGGTTTATTGCAATAATTAACAATTAATTGATATGGAGGGGTCGATGAGATGTTCTGGAGGCGTGTGGCGCAGTGGGTTGTCCGTAGGTGTTCTGATCAGGGGGTCACAGGTTCAAACCCCACTGCAGTCAGCATGTCGTTGTGTCCCTGAGACACTTTACCACAAAGTGCTCCTGTGGGGATTGTCCTCAGTGTTGAGTCTGTAAGTCGCTTTGGATAAAAGCGTCTAACATGTGACATGTAATGTGATGTTCTGGTCTGGCGGGACGTGCTGTGGTCCGTGCAGAGGGAGACTCAGAGTGGGGGAAGCGTCTCCGGCATGATCTGCTCGGGCTGATTACGGCCCCTAAAAGAGTCGGATTAAATGCAGCTGACTTGAGTGTGTGTAAAAGAGCAATCTTTTCCCACTTCCTTCAGCTCTTTTCTGTTCTTTGGTTTTAGCGCCTGGCCGACGCGCTCACACGTCACTCAGAGATATATTGTTTGTTTTTGGTACATTTATTTCCATGTTATCGTTTCCATTTCTTCACTGTTCGTTCTCTTCTCAAAAATGAAGGTATCTTACCAGACGATGTTGAAACAGTTTCGTCCCTTAAACAAACAGATCGTAACTTCTCTGCAGCGCAGCGCTCACCGTGTGGCTTCACATCCAAAACAGAACCCAGAGTATAATCAGCAGGACTCTTTTAACCAGCTGAGGCCATCGCAGCACCAATCAGCCGCTCCGCCCAACCGTGGCTGCAGATCACGATCAAATGACATCAATCAATTATACTCCATTACATGAAATGATGAAATAATCCAAATAATAAATCAACGTTTTGGCTCCTACACTCCGGCCCCTAACTGTTATGGAATCACACATGACTATTACTAATAAACATCAAATGGAGAGCCAATACGAAACATTTGTTTGTTAGGGTTAGGGTTTATGTCATGTCTGACATCGTTTAGATCATTGCGGATGTAAGCGTGGTAAGCTTGGGATGACCAGCGGCCGAGGGGCTGGATGGTTTGGATCAGAGATGCCTGGTCTAGCTGCTGTGGACGCTGCGCCGATGCGGAAGAAATGGCTCGAATAATGTTCTGAGAATGTACCCCAAATACTCGGGATGTTCTGAAAATGTTTCTGGAACCAGAAGCCAGAGAAGGCTAGCAGAAACAAGGTCGACCGTCTCATGCAGCGTGAGAGAGCAGTTACGGTTGTCTTAACCTGTTAAGCCCCAAGACTGTTTTTCGGGTCTCGGCTCGAAAATGACATGCCCAGAACAAATGACTATATCTTCACTTCTAAAAGGGGTAAATAATCATCTTTTCTCGGGGGGACATTCCTAAATCCAACTAAACATTACCATTAAGGAATTAGAATGATGCGCACACAGCTTGCCCAAAACCGGAAGATCCGTTACACTCTATATGAAAAATACGTTTATTGCCATGAATGTTAGGTTGGGTTGTGGGGGCAGGTGCTCCTGGCATGAGCGCTGCCGCAGAAAGAGCAGACGTGACTAGGGAAGATGGGAGGTGGGGGTGCGGCAGGTGATAGACGGTTGATGTCTGAGGCGTGATGAAGAGGGAAGTGAGTGAGGTGTTTGAGGTGGTGGAGCGCTGACTGAGCATGCTGAGGCCGGGTGGGAGGGGGCTCCGCATAACTGGCAAGAGAGGGATGCGCGTGATGCGAAGATGCGGTAGTAAAACTCGGAGTCCAGAGCGCCCCAGTATGTTCCCTGATTGAATTGTTTAATGCGGCCGGCGGCTTGACGAGCAAAGTGAACGTGGTAGGTGTAGAACCCTGAACCTCCGAAACGTAAGGCCATGTCTAGCGTCAGGTATTCGTCGCTCAGATCCATCAGTTCTGCTTCACTTTGTATCAAAGCCTTCACCGGGGGGCACTCTGATTTACATGTAAATGAACACATGTTAGTATGTAATCTGATGATCCATCACTCAGCGTGTTACGTCTTATAATGTCCTCTCTGAAGGGCTGTCGGCTCTTTAAGGCTTTAGTCTGTAGATCTAATCTGTGCTTTCAAATGATAAAAGCATTCCTGGAAACTTCATTGAAATGAAAGTCGAGATCAAAGGCTGATCGATGAGTGGTTTTACTTTAATAATCAACCATTGATGGAACCAGTCATATTATCTGACTCCAGCTTCTTAGACGTCAATCTGTTCTGGATTCCTCTGAGGGAGTTAACATCTGTGAATATCTCTCTGCGTCACTCTTTAGTGTCCCCTGGTCTCCAGCTGTGTGCGTCACTCTTTAGTGTCCCCTGGTCTCCCAGCTGTGTGCGTCACTCTTTAGTGTCCCCTGGTCTCCCAGCTGTGTGCGTCACTCTTTAGTGTCCCCTGGTCTCCCAGCTGTGTGCGTCACTCTTTAGTGTCCCCTGGTCTCCCAGCTGTGTGCGTCACTCTTTAGTGTCCCCTGGTCTCCCAGCTGTGTGCGTCACTCTTTAGTGTCCCCTGGTCTCCCAGCTGTGTGCGTCACTCTTTAGTGTCCCCTGGTCTCCCAGCTGTGTGCGTCACTCTTTAGTGTCCCCTGGTCTCCCAGCTGTGTGCGTCACTCTTTAGTGTCCCCTGGTCTCCCAGCTGTGTGCGTCACTCTTTAGTGTCCCCTGGTCTCCCAGCTGTGTGTGTCACTCTTTAGTGTCCCCTGGTCTCCAGCTGTGTGTGTCACTCTTTAGTGTCCCCTGGTCTCCCAGCTGTGTGTGTCACTCTTTAGTGTCCCCTGGTCTCCCATGTGTGCGTCACTCTTTAGTGTCCCCTAGTCTCCCAGCTGTGTGCGTCACTCTTTAGTGTCCCCTGGTCTCCCAGCTGTGTGCGTCACTCTTTAGTGTCCCCTGGTCTCCCAGCTGTGTGCGACACTCTTTAGTGTCCCCTGGTCTCCCAGCTGTGTGCGTCACTCTTTAGTGTCCCCTGGTCTCCCAGCTGTGTGCGTCACTCTTTAGTGTCCCCTGGTCTCCCAGCTGTGTGCGTCACTCTTTAGTGTCCCCTGGTCTCCAGCTGTGTGCGTCACTCTTTAGTGTCCCCTGGTCTCCAGCTGTGTGCGTCACTCTTTAGTGTCCCCTGGTCTCCCATATTTTTTGAATAGCTTTTATAAAAGTACTATTTGTGTTATTTTATTCTTCTATATGTCTCTGTTCGCATCGTTTGCACTAAAGCATATTCCTCGTGTGAACCTTTGGGTTAAAATTAAAACTGATTCTGATTCTACTTGTGAAACAGGGCCCTGACCAATTTGCTGCCCTAGGCAAGATTTTAGCTGGCGCATGCATGCACGTGCACGGTGTGGCATGACCACCAAAACAGAAATATACGGACACAAGATGTGTGCAAATGTATTTAGTTTCCTATCCATGTGAACATGATTTAAGTGGGGGGGGGACCTAACCTCCGGGGGGCATGCTCCCCCGGGAAGATAATTTTTTTTCTTCTTAATATTGAAGTTGAAAGCATCAATCTGGTGCACTTTGAGAGCAACATTAAGAGATCTATGGAAACACCTCTCAACACCATATGAAACAGATTTTCTTTTTCTTTATGGATATTTTACAAATCACTCACCTTTCAAATTCTATTCTTGTTTATTAATAACAACTTTTTTTTACTGTCATATAGTATTTTATACCTGTTTACTTTATTCTCTTATTGTGTTATAACTATAATGATCATATAAAGATGTGCCTTTGCCTCACTGAGCTGAGGTTATCAGAGCCTCTCAGTCTTTCAGGAGAGAGCTCCGTTTAGCTCCAACCGCTGGAAAAGCTGCAGTACATATGCCGAGCCTGTACGTGGCGCTGTAACTTCCTCCACAAAAGCAGCGAAGAAGAATGGTTGTCATGGCTGCACTTCTGTTTATTCTCCGCAGTGGGGGCCGAGGGAACCGGCAGAGTTTTTCGCCGGTCAGCGTGTGTTAAAGTTTAAATCTTGCGGACAAAATGATAAAAGTGCCGGTCAAAGGTCTTCATTGTTATTTATTGAGCTTGAAAACAAATGAATAACGACTCTATATAATGATATATAATAATAAAATACACGGAGCCTCTCTTGTTCCTCTCTTCTGACAACAACCAAGTCTTTTTATGTCTTTTTATGTCTTTTTATGTTATGTTGCATCGTTGGAGATCTTCATTGTATAACTGCACTGCAGCTGCTGTGTACATGATGGTAATGTTCACCTGTGTGTCTCCTCTCAGGTGAAGCTGCAGCTTGTGAGGAAGAAGTGTGATGAAGAAGAGTGATGAAGAGTGGCCCTGAGGAGAGGAAGCTGGCTCTGTGATGGATGAGGCTCTGATCCGTCTCTTCTCCTCTGAAAGCAGCCAGTGAACTGAGCGATGGCTCCTGTGGTTCTTCTTCTGTTCCTCCTCCTCTCTCACCTGGAGGTTAACGGTGTTTCTGCTCACCTGGAGGAAGAGGAGGGTCTGCAGGTAACATCCACCCAGAGGGTAACATCCACCCAGAGGGTAACATCCACCCAGAGGGTAACATCCACCCAGAGACCCAGTGCTTCCTCTGAGAGCTTCACAGAGCTGCAGAGGGGAGAGGATGTGAGGAGTCTGGATCTGACCCTGACCCACATGAACCCTGATGAGTCTGAGCAGCAAACAGTGAAGCTGCATGGATCCTCTGGAGGCGAGGAGGACCAGGACCGAGTTCTCCAGATCCTCGTGGATGCACCAGGATCCGGAGGCGTCCTGAAACCTCGCCGCCGCCGGAGCTGGCTCTGGAACCAGTTCTTCGTGATCGAGGAGTACCAGGGGCCCGAACCGGTGCTCATCGGACGGGTGAGCTGAGAGAGGACATGTTTCAGAGAGATGACATGTTTCAGAGAGAGGACATGTTTCAGAGAGAGGACATGTTTCAGAGAGAGGAGATGTTTCAGAGAGAGGACATGTTTCAGAGAGAGGACATGTTTCAGAGAGAGGAGATGTTTCAGAGAGAGGACATGTTTCAGAGAGAGGACATGTTTCAGAGAGAGGACATGTTTCAGAGAGGAGATGTTTCAGAGAGAGGACATGTTTCAGAGAGAGGACATGTTTGAGAGAGAGGAGATGTTTCAGAGAGAGGACATGTTTCAGAGAGAGGAGATGTTTCAGAGAGAGGACATGTTTCAGAGAGAGGACATGTTTCAGAGAGGACATGTTTCAGAGAGGACATGTTTCAGAGAGAGGACATGTTTCAGAGAGAGGACATGTTTCAGAGAGGACATGTTTCAGAGAGGACATGTTTCAGAGAGAGGAGATGTTTCAGAGAGAGGACATGTTTCAGAGAGAGGACATGTTTCAGAGAGAGGACATGTTTCAGAGAGAGGACATGTTTCAGAGAGGACATGTTTCAGAGAGAGGACATGTTTCAGAGAGGACATGTTTCAGAGAGAGGAGATGTTTCAGAGAGAGGACATGTTTCAGAGAGAGGACATGTTTCAGAGAGAGGAGATGTTTCAGAGAGAGGACATGTTTCAGAGAGAGGACATGTTTCAGAGAGAGGACATGTTTGAGAGAGAGGACATGTTTGAGAGAGAGGACATGTTTCAGAGAGAGGACATGTTTCAGAGAGAGGAGATGTTTGAGAGAGAGGACATGTTTCAGAGAGAGGACATGTTTCAGAGAGAGGACATGTTTCAGAGAGAGGACATGTTTGAGAGAGAGGACATGTTTCAGAGAGAGGACATGTTTCAGAGAGAGGACATGTTTCAGAGAGAGGACATGTTTGAGAGAGGAGATGTTTCAGAGAGAGGACATGTTTGAGAGAGAGGACATGTTTCAGAGAGGAGATGTTTCAGAGAGAGGACATGTTTCAGAGAGAGGACATGTTTCAGAGAGAGGACATGTTTCAGAGAGAGGACATGTTTCAGAGAGGAGATGTTTCAGAGAGAGGACATGTTTGAGAGAGAGGACATGTTTCAGAGAGAGGAGATGTTTCAGAGAGAGGAGATGTTTCAGAGAGAGGACATGTTTCAGAGAGAGGACATGTTTCAGAGAGAGGACATGTTTCAGAGAGAGGACATGTTTCAGAGAGAGGACATGTTTCAGAGAGGAGATGTTTCAGAGAGAGGACATGTTTGAGAGAGAGGACATGTTTCAGAGAGAGGACATGTTTCAGAGAGAGGACATGTTTCAGAGAGAGGACATGTTTCAGAGAGAGGACATGTTTCAGAGAGAGTACATGTTTCAGATTGAGGAGGATGTTTCAGAGGAGGCATGTTTGAGAGAGAGGACATGTTCAGAGAGAGGACATGTTTTCAGAGAGAGGACATGTTCAGAGAGAGGACATGTTTCAGAGAGAGATGTTTCAGAGAGAGGACATGTTTGAGAGAGAGGACATGTTTCAGAGAGAGGACATGTTTCAGAGAGAGGACATGTTTCAGAGAGAGGAGATGTTTCAGATGAGAGGGACAGTTTCAGAGAGAGGACATGTTTCAGAGAGGAGGAAATGTTTCAGAGAGAGGACATGTTTCAGAGAGAGGACATGTTTCAGAGAGGAGATGTTTCAGAGAGAGGACATGTTTGAGAGAGAGGACATGTTTCAGAGAGAGGACATGTTTCAGAGAGAGGACATGTTTCAGAGAGAGGACATGTTTCACGAGAGGAGGACATGTTTCAGAGAGAGGACATGTTTCAGAGAGAGATGTTTCAGAGAGAGGACATGTTTGTTTCAGAGAGAGGACATGTTTCAGAGAGAGGACATGGTTCAGAGAGAGGACATGTTTCAGAGAGAGGACATGTTTGAGAGAGAGGACATGTTTCAGAGAGAGGACATGTTTCAGAGAGAGGACATGTTTCAGAGAGAGGACATGTTTCAGAGAGAGGACATGTTTCAGAGAGAGGACATGTTTCAGAGAGAGGACATGTTTCAGAGAGAGGACATGTTTCAGAGAGCATTAAGGATGCAGAGATGTATTCTGAGCGTCTCAGCGCTGCATGCATGTATTCATGCGCCCCGCACCATGACCCTGATACAATAAGTGCACAATGATAACCTCTTTCACTCTGTCTCTGACTCTGTCCCCCCCCCCCCCCCCCCCCCCCCCCCCCCCCCCCCCCCCCCTGACCTGGATGCAGAGACAGCTTCCTGGCTCTCAGGCTCTCCTCCTGCTCGCTGAGTGGAGGCAGAGGCTGTTTGGAAAGGCTTATGTTTGCATGATGCACTCACCCTGCACAGAACAACAACTCCCCCACAGTGCAGCCTTGGAGACCGGTTCTCAGTCATAAGATAATGTATATTTTTTACTTTTTTTTTAATGCTGTTCTATTTCTTTTTGAGATGTTTACATTTTGGATTGTTTATTTCTAGTCTTTTAATTTCTCTAATGTGCAAAGCCTTGTCTTTTGATGATGCTGCAACGCAAACATTGGGATCAATAAAGTACTTCTTATCTTATCCTATAAGAGGTACTTTATTGATCCCAAATTGGGACTGTTTTGCGTTGCAGCATCAAAAACATCCAAAGAAAACAAGGCATTGCACATGTAGAAATGAAAGAGTAGAAATAACCATTGAAACATCTCAAACTTGAATTGAAGCAGCATTACAAAGTCAGAAATACACATTAGACCGTGAAGATAAATAATCTATAAACTCTGAGAATAAAACACTGTTGAAGGTCATGTTACATTTTCTGCTGTTCTTATGTCTTCTTCATAAGATTGACTATGTTTTCATGCAGGAAATGAACCCTTGAGAGCCGATGTGTGTTCGGTTTATCTAAGTAACGCCTTCCTAGAGAACTAGTCATGTGCTTCGTATCGCTGAGCATCCTTCAGTCGGCTGTTAAATCATATTTAATGGATCATTAACGCGGTGTAAGAGTCTAAGCAGAACACGTGTAGTCTCTTCAGAACCGCCTGTTACTAACACTGCAAAGAAATCAGAGACAAACCATTACACTATTTCCCACTTATATATATATATACATATTTTAGCCTCGCTTTATTTTCAGGACGTTGACCTCTCAGTTAATCCACTGTGTGTGTGTGTGTGTGTGTGTGTGTGTGTGTGTGTGTGTGTGTGTGTGTGTGTGTGTGTGTGTGTGTGTGTGTGTGTGTGTGTGTGTGTGTGTGTCTGCCTCTGAACTCTTTGTTATTTGTCTCCAGTTCCTCTCCTCTCAGCAGACTCATGAAGCGCTCACATTTTTCACATCAATTTAAAAACAAGTTAAACACATTTAGCATCTCCCTTCCTCTGTTCGTCGATTAAAAAGCGAGACGAAGACTCTAAAAGTGTCTCCAAAGGTCAGGAACATGGAGACAGAGAATTGAAATGATTTAGCCCTTTTTAAAAACGCTACTATCTACAGTGATGGCGTCTGAGGCTCCTGCAACATGGAGTATATTGGAGGATACATGGAGTCCTCTTCTGCTGATGTTCAGGTGTATATCAGTATGTAGTGTCTCTACTTTAAAGAGTCCTCTTCTGCTGATGTTCAGGTGTATATCAGTATGTAGTGTCTCTACTTTAAAGAGTCCTCTCCTGCTGATGTTCAGGTGTATATCAGTATGTAGTGTCTTACTTTAAAGAGTCCTCTCCTGCTGATGTTCAGGTGATATCAGTATGTAGTGTCTCTACTTTAAAGAGTCCTCTCCTGTGATGTTCAGGTGTATATCAGTATGTAGTGTCTCTACTTTAAAGAGTCCTCTCTGCTGATGTTCAGGTGTATATCAGTATGTAGTGTCTCTACTTTAAAGAGTCCTCTCCTGCTGATGTTCAGGTGTATATCAGTATGTAGTGTCTCTACTTTAAAGAGTCCTCTCCTGCTGATGTTCAGGTGTATATCAGTATGTAGTGTCTCTACTTTAAAGAGTCCTCTCCTGCTGATGTTCAGGTGTATATCAGTATGTAGAGTCTCTACTTTAAAGAGTCCTCTCCTGCTGATGTTCAGGTGTATATCAGTATGTAGAGTCTCTACTTTAAAGAGTCCTCTCCTGCTGATGTTCAGGTGTATATCAGTATGTAGTGTCTCTACTTTAAAGAGTCCTCTCCTGCTGATGTTCAGGTGTATATCAGTATGTAGTGTCTCTACTTTAAAGAGTCCTCTCCTGCTGATGTTCAGGTGTATATCAGTATGTAGTGTCTCTACTTTTAAAGAGTCCTCTCCTGCTGATGTTCAGGTGTATATCAGTATGTAGTGTCTCTACTTTAAAGAGTCCTCTCCTGCTGATGTTCAGGTGTATATCAGTATGTAGTGTCTCTACTTTAAAGAGTCCTCTCCTGCTGATGTTCAGGTGTATATCAGTATGTAGTGTCTCTACTTTAAAGAGTCCTCTCCTGCTGATGTTCAGGTGTATATCAGTATGTAGTGTCTCTACTTTAAAGAGTCCTCTCCTGCTGATGTTCAGGTGTATATCAGTATGTAGTGTCTCTACTTTAAAGAGTCCTCTCCTGCTGATGTTCAGGTGTATATCAGTATGTAGTGTCTCTACTTTAAAGAGTCCTCTCCTGCTGATGTTCAGGTGTATATCAGTATGTAGTGTCTCTACTTTAAAGAGTCCTCTCCTGCTGATGTTCAGGTGTATATCAGTATGTAGTGTCTCTACTTTAAAGAGTCCTCTCCTGCTGATGTTCAGGTGTATATCAGTATGTAGTGTCTCTACTTTAAAGAGTCCTCTCCTGCTGATGTTCAGGTGTATATCAGTATGTAGTGTCTCTACTTTAAAGAGTCCTCTCCTGCTGATGTTCAGGTGTATATCAGTATGTAGTGTCTCTACTTTAAATAGTCCTCTCCTGCTGATGTTCAGGTGTATATCAGTATGTAGTGTGTCTACTTTAAAGAGTCCTCAGGTGTATA